TCACAGTTAATTAAGCAACTACAAATTTTATTCCAAAATAATACAACAATTTCATTATAGTGCAAAGAATGATGGAAATTCCAGAGAAAACCATTCTCTCTAATTTTTAAAATGGTTACTTTTCTTTTCTATGTATACATTTTAGGGAATTATTTAAGGCTTGATATTCTCTCCATATATATTTATGGAAGTTATGCCAATGATTTCACTGGCAGTAGGATTCACTATCATTATGTTTTTTCGTATAATGTGAAACTTGAAATATTTTCAAGTTCACGAATTTATGTTAGTTGAATTCTGACATTTATAACCAGATGCTTAAATCAGTATTTATGAAGTTAATCATTATTTGGTCAAGGCAGACAGGTGGAGCTGAGACAGTGTGGCTGTTTCTGCATGTGAATAAACATTTTGCCTATTGTGTAGTAAAATCCTCTTCCCTCTCCCCCCACCCCTCACCCCCACCCACTTTTGGAGCACAGAGAAGCTAGAAAAAGAGGTTTTACACTCTTCCTCCTACCGTCCAAACGTACAGAGTAAACAAAAAAGTGTTGCTCTTCCCAGGCAGACAGAGGTTTTGGGAGAAGTTTCTCAGATTGTGTGACATCTACAGAAGTCTAAGACATTTGTACAGAACCTTAATGCTGTAATGCTGTAAGTTCCTTGCTGCTTTTTTCCCATCTTCCCATGTCTTTTTCTTCTGTCCTTAAAAGAACATGAGTTATCATCACAAAGAGAAAGCTGTTTAGGTTTCATAAAAATACTATTCATTTCTTCTCTGAAAGAGATTCCAGTATTTCCAGTGGACTAAGTTTTTTCCTGCGAGTAGTAAAATAATGAGGAAAAGGTGCAGCAAAATGCTGCTAAATCAAAGCACTCCACTTACTAAACTGCACTGTATTTAGTCTACGTTCAGTCTGCATGGTAATAGAGATTCAGACTAGAAGGAAAGAAACAGAAAAAAAAAAATCCTAAAATTTGTAATGCATCTTTGACAGAAATTTCACACTGCTGCGAACTGTCTTATATGAGTAAAGATAATATTTCAGCCATGATATGTCTCAGCTACTTTGTTTCAATATAAATTTAAATCCTCCTTTAGTTAGATCTGACATCCTCAAGGGATTGAATTTGGAACTAAAATAACATTGTTCTATGCAACAGGTAGATCTCCAATGGGAAGAATGTATTGATGTGATATTTCTATTTATTAACCTTATATAAATTCTACTCTGGGATTAATGTAATGTAACTACTATTAGCTCCCCTAACCTTCCTTGCTTTGGTGGTGGTTTGTGTAATATATCACAGTCCTTAAAAGAGTTCTGAGGTAGATTTCTTTTGGTGAAAAAACAATTTAATATTCTAGACATTTCCCAGGTCATTCTACTGCAATAAGGTAATATAAACGATATACATCAGAAATGCAGCTGAGGATTTCTGGGGTTTTTTTTTACTCACTTGGATCTATGGTACAATTTATTTCACAGCAAATCTTATGTCAGATGTTGCTTTCCTACCATTCATCTTGACAGCAGTTAAAATTCTGCAATAACAAAATCAACTTTTCTAGCTGAAATGCTTACACTCTATTGGAAATAGTATGGAGTCCTGCATTTTTGTCTATCTAATATATTTTTGCAGGCTTTTTTTTTTTTTTTTGTACTGTATTTGTCTTTTAATGTTTTGAATTTGCTAATAAAAAAATAATTTTTAATGTTGCTTAAATTTTAGGATTCTTGCCACAGAGTAGCTTAAACTGAATTTTGCTGTTCAGTAAGGTTTAGTTCTTTTTGGTTGTGTTTATTTTTAAATTCTGGTCTAGAAAATAAAATAAATCCCCCACAATATTCCTTGCATACCCTGTTAAAAAGTATTTGTAATTTTGTTTCAACTCTCTATACGGTACATGAAACCAAAACCAATATAACTTGTAACTTCTCCAAGGGTACCATGTGACTTGAAGCCTGCCTATACTCTTATAAATGGAAAATACTAAGGTCTGAGCTGTTGTGCATCATGTTAATTATGCCCAACAATGCCTGCAAAATTCACAAGAGTATCTTGCCTCTTTGCAGTCTACTCCTCAATGTAATGACTCACTGTGTGAATAACCCAGCAAAATCAATTAGTCTACAAAACTGAATTCTTCAGATAAAGTGTACAGATACCATGATTAGGAAGAAAATATAAAAGCAGAAACAGGTAGATAGAACAGGTAGAAAAAAACTGAAAAATTTCAAATCTGAAAGAATAAAAGGAATTTCACTTTCAGTATATCTGGGATGATATATGCCAAGGAATATAACAATGGCATAATTTACACATACGGTATGCAGTGGACCAATTTTTTCACATTCATATTCTGAAAGTCCTATATTTCTTTTAGAATATTATTTGAAATTTTACAGCTAATTATGTCAGCAATCATTGAAAATGGTAATCAAAATATCCATTTTGGCTAGGACTGTGAGCTGTGGACTCTTGCAGGAAGAGTTCTGTTTGTATATGGAAAGATGAATAAGCTGATTTTATACTTTAATGACAGATACATACCTTAAAGAAAAAACAAAATCACTCTATTAGTGTTTTCTTCCATTCTGAACATATTTAAAAAATGTAAACCACTTAGCAAACAGTGAAAGTTTCATTACTCTTATGTGACTTTTAAGCCCCGCACTTTTGTTACATACTGTAGTTTCTTAATTAATCTAAATGTCTTTTACAACTGGAGTGTTTGAAGTATTCTGATGAAGAATGGTTCTTTTCTTTGTTTTCCAGTACATAGTTGTGATTTTTTTCCGATGTATAAAGTATATTCACATAATACCATCACTGATACCAACTGGTTCCAGTGTTTGAGGACATATTTTTCTAACAAATTTAGTTTGGTTAATTTCATAAATGTATTTGTAAGAGTTATTGTATCTACACACATAGTGCTGTTCAGGGGATTCTAAAATAGACACTGATGCTTTAAATACTGCATATAGACATAATTTTATTCATTTAGATAGGCCCCAGGAGTCACTTAAGTGTTTATAGAATCAGATCCTTAGGTTTTATGTAGATAACACATTTGTGTTTTATTAAGTGTAGACTCATAGTCATGCTTTTATAGTGGTTAAATTTTTAAAACATGTACAGTAACACTAATTTTTAGGATGCCTTAAGCTTTATTTTCAGTGAAATTATTCAGCCTTGGAAAGTAATGATGGCTGAAAGGCAAGTCAAACACTGCTAGTGCTTGGTTTAGGTTTTAAGTTTCATCTCGCCTTAACTGAATGTTATATATAATAATCCTCTACTCCAGATTTTGTTCTAATTCTCATGATGGTACTTTATTTTTTCATGACATGGTTATACTTTATAGTTTTATACTTTTAAATCTCGTGGAAATATGATAAATCTAAAACATGGTAGAAGACACAGTTCTACTGTTTTGTTTACAAGAAAGCAGTTGCCATGTTTCAATGGCAAATCCATGCAAAGTGTTCATAATAGAGTGTGAAATGTGAAAGTTACTGTTTTTCCAAAATTCATAAATCCCTTTAGTTCCACACTTGAGGGGACCTCTGTCTGTCTGGTGCATGAACAGAAGAAATAGAAATTCTAATAAATCTGGACTGAAAAGAATAACAGAGTACTGACAGAAATAATTGTACTTTCATTAAATATAACTTGAAAACCAAGCCTAAAGCAACTATTAAAAGTTTTCTCTATAATGAAAAAAACCTGGGCTCCCTAGAGACTGAGAAAGAGACTATTGGCTCTTTCTCAAGATGTTATAATTCTGTATCCTCTTGTAAGATAATACAGCCCCTGCTTTTCTGGGTAAGACAAATACTGATGTGCTCTTCTGAAGTGAAGTCCATCCAATTTAAGTCCATTTCCGAATGCGAATCTGACGTCTGGAGAGCTCATCACAGAGCTGGCAAACAGCAAGCAGGCAATTGCTTTAGAGACAATAAAAGTAAACTGTTTTGTAAAGGCAGGGCAATGGTCCAAGAACTCTGTGTGGATTGAGGTTTCCAAGTGCTTATTTAACATCAGTATTAGTAATACACAGTACTATGGCAATATATAATACTGCATTCACATAAAGGATCCAACATCCTTTTTCTGGATTTTGTTTCTGCACTTGTTACTGTACATTACAGAAGCAATATTCTTAGTGCTGGACAGTATTTGTTTTAGCAAGCTTTTACCCGTTTTCCGCTTCTGATGGCCTCTCCAGGTAGAATCATAGGTTCAGGCTGTGTGAAAGATTGCTACCAGGGATTCAGTCTTGATTTGTGAAAGCATGTCTTGAGTTCAAACACTTTCATTTGCTTATAATTTAATATGCATTTCTATAGTCCTCCTCTTAAATATGTACAAGCAGGCCTAATTCACTTTCGGGTCCTTAGGAGATAACTCAGAACTCTTCCTTTGATCATCATAGCCATCTGTCATTTTAGGTCTTGAATATATCGTTGAACTGGCAAAGCATAACACCAATAATTCACTGCTAATGTACATGGAGCTGCATCCAATAGTGTGGTCCAAGGATGGTTGATACTGCTCTGCATGAGGGAAAAATGGCAAGCTATGAACTGTGTGAAGGTGGCTGGAATGTCCATCAGATGCCTACTGACAGCTAGGCAAACAGAAGTTTGATAGTTTTTTGCCAGATTCATGCCTCCTGTGCTCACAATCTGAACGTAAAATATCAATCCACGTCAAGGTCCTTAATTGTTTCCTATGGCTTATGTAACACCAACATTATATTTCTTCAGATGCATAACTTCCTCAGTCACAACAATGATTTTATGCAGATGAAAAAAAAAAAAAGTACTATTACCTCTTAACAAGAAAGGTACATTTGGTACATCTGGACTGTGAGAAAATGGGACTCATTAAGTTGCAAGTGAAACAAATTATGAAATTGCCAGACTTTTTTTTTAATTTATTGCTTCATCAGATTTTGTTCCCATATTTTTTTCTTCTCTTTCCTTTAGCAATGGTTGTTCTCAGCAATTTGGAACCAAATACAACATACGAAATCAAAGTAGCCGCTGTAAATGGAAAAGGGCAAGGAGAGTACAGCAAAATCGAGATCTTTCAGACCTTACCTGTCCGTGAGTAACACTTAAGCTATTAAATCAAAATGTAAATAGAATATTTTATCTCCAGATCAGCTAATAATTTAAATTATGATTCACTGTGGATAATATGTTTTATATTTACAGGCTACTTCCCAGTGCATAACATCAGTCTTCATTGTTTCTCAGGAATCATGGGTTTGTCCTCTTATTCCCTCCCATCAAGTAGTGTGAATGAACTTAAAGTGGAAAATTCATCCCATTACCTATAATTTGGAGACTTAGACAAATGTATGGTTTATATTTAGACTCACAAACCATGAAACATACTAAATTAAGGACTTCTCATTTATATTCGTTTACACAATTACCACAAATATTTCTAAAGGAATTGTATCTCTCTGTGAATGTAAATTTAGATATTTTGAAGATAAGACACAAGTATAACAACACACTTTCATTTAGGATCTGATTAAACTTTATAATAGGCATTGCGTATAGAAATGATAATTAGTCTGTGAATTTCAATGAGCTAAGTGGCTTTAACTGGCTATTAACTCTTCCATTGTACATTTAAGTTTGTATTTATCCTTACATTACAGAAAAAACTGGTGTTGCTTTTGGTAATCTTATTCTTTACGTTTCTTGTTAATACAGACTGCTCTAAAAGTATCCAGTTTTGCCTCAGAACATTTATTGAAGAGTTAATTTACCTTATATTGATATTACAGTCTTCCACATGGGGCTAGAGCTCATGCTTAATATTAAGGGTGCTTTCCTGTAAGATAGTGTTACCCTCAAACTTCAGTGTGAGTAGCAGCTTGTCAGCCTAAATCATTTCTGAAGTAAATTACATCTGAAAGTGTCAAAAGATGGAAGGTCTTAAACAAGTACTTCTTTCATTCTTCACATAATTTTGTTTCCTTTTGTGCAATAATTACATTAGAACATACTCTAAGCAAAATATTTAACACACTTATTAAGGTTGTTCTGCAGTGCTTGGAAGTACTATGTTGATTTTAAAGATTTTGATTAATAATATGGTGCACAAGTTCCCAGTTGTAATTTAAGACTTACCTGATTGCTGAATTATTATTATCTACTGTTTTTTTTCCTTGTTTAGGGGAGCCAAGCCCCCCTTCAATTCATGGACAACCAGAAAGTGGCAAGAGTTTTAAACTTAGCATAACTAAACAAGATGACGGAGGTGCCCCCATTTTGGAATACATTGTCAAATACAGGAGTGTAAGTATTTCAGTTAATCAAAATAGATGGGTTTTGCTTAGTAATATCTTCTTTTAATGTAGTCAGGACTGTTGATGTGATTTGAAATGTAACAAAATGGTTTGCATACTAGAAAAAGAAAATGTAGTATAATATGTTTTCTTTTGTTTACTAGGTTGCTAATGCAAGATTATAAAATGAAACATAAAGAAACAAAAGCACCATGTTCTTCCTAGAGGTATAACTGAGAGTTCATTCTAATTAGAAAACTATATTCTCTGTTTTGTTACATGGTAAATGAGGGACATTCATGTTCGCCTCTCAGAAGTGCATTAAATTAGCAGACATTAAAGTTACATAATTAAGGGTTGTTTGAGCAGCAAATTAATAACCTTTTATAAATTAATCTGTATTGATAGATAGCATCCTAGCGATAGAAAGCTATACTCCAGTGCTCCATATTAATTTGAAATTAATTATCTGTTCATGTTTCATATTTTCTGTCTTCCTAGATTCCAAGGTTCAGCTTAAAAAAGCTAAATAATTTGAGATTGTTAGGACTTTCATGAGTTCCAGTGTACATATCAGTTCTTTAACAGCCATTGTGCAGATTTTTTTGGCCTTCTATCAGCTAGAATCTGTTTGGTGTTCTCTCATTAAATCTGGCAAGTTTACAATACATGCTTTTCTAGCTAAAATATCCTTCCTTTCCTGATTACTGTGTTTAGAAATTACTGGGTTAAAGAACTAACTATAGAGCTGGTAAAAGCAATGAATTTAATTCAAAAGTGTGCATTTTCTAATGACTTCTTTGTGTTCTTTTAGGAAGATTATACTACTTTTACCTGATTAGGCCCAGTAAAAGGATGAGAGTGCAATAGCATATGTACATATCCATTTCAAGAGTCTAAAAGATATCGGCAATGTAACATCAGATATTTAGACTTGTTAAATAGAAGGTAGTGAGGACTGTATTTAACAGAAATAAGCAATCTTTGAGAAATTGAACGCGGAACATGTTTCGATGTTCCCAAGAAGGAAAAGCCATTTCCTAATTTTCAGTATGTTTTTTTTTTTTCACAATTCCTGCTTTTTCCTATAATGTCACTCTGATGATAGTTCTGGCATTGTCCAAGTGCTAAACCAGGCATAAAGTATGATTTTTGTAAGGTAACCAAAGAAGATTACTAACTCCAAATCAATTGAGAAAAATTTGGTAGAGTTTTTAAAAGTAGCCTGGGGACATAAACAGCAGTTATTCTGATATCACTGATCCCTAAATCTTAATTGACATTCTTAAATGACTTTGAGTCCACTGAGTGCAGCTGGCATAAAAGAAAAGTAATTATAAAGAAGAGAGTATAATATGCAATACAAGATACAATGCAGTTTCATGGGATTGAGCTTCCTGTTTAGGTAACAATGCCTCTAAGTATTTATAATTAAGAAGAAAATAAATAGTTTGGACATAATATATTCATGCAGCATATGGAATTTAATGTGTGATTTAAGTAAGCTAAATGATTTTGGATATATCCTAAATATTTTTTGAAACCTGATTTTCATCTAGTGTTTTGACTAAGGTACGATGTTATAGTCTGAAACATCACTCTTCGCATGTATTGTGGAAAGATAAATGTACAGTTTAAGCAGTAGCAGGAAACTTAACAGGTTACTGAAGAAGATAGCTTTTACTTGGACCTCAAATCCATACCTACTTAAGCTTTCAATTGAAAAAGTGATTTGACTAAATTAAAGACCATCCTACAACAAAAGAGCATGATGTTTTGGGGTTTTTTTTGTGTTTTAATCAGAGTGAATGGATGCTATTTAAAGTTCTTAATTATCTGTTGACTGCTTCTCTTCTATCTTCCCCATTGGTTGTATTTAATTAGCTTTCCTATAACTCTTGCTAGCCTCATTACTAGCACCTGGACCAATGTATTTGCTTGCCTATTTAAAGAGCGCATTAGAAAACAAGCTATACATCAGTGTCTTTTTCTTCTTTGTTTTTCATAACAGCTTATGTCTTACTAATAGTCAGTTCCCTTATATTTAATTTCCATACAGAGTTTGTTGTTGTTTGTGTTTGGTTTTGTTTTTTTTTAACTGGGAGAAGGACAGCCTTTAAGATACAGCAATTTTATAGCCTGGTTTAGGACAATTGGTAAGTTTTGTTTTTGTGGAAATCATGTGTTTCATTCTGTCAAATATTACTTTCCTAACATTACTTCATTCATATTATGGGCGGGAGCTATTATAGTTAGTTAATTAGAAGCTTCACTTCTTGGTCTGCATTCCAGAGAAGTAGGTACTATGCAATTTTTATGAGCAGCAGCCTCAGACTGATTCATAGTCTTGCACAAAGATAGTGAAGACAGTCTTACAAAGCTTCCCTGGTGGAGCCTGAAGCTGATGGCATACAATGACTTCAAAGTTACCTTAGGATGGAATAAGAGGAGAGAGAGAAAGATGAGGGAAAACTCTTCCCCAGTAACCACCTGGGAAAAGCAGTGATGGGGATTCCCTAGACAAGCATCCTGTCCAGTGCAGGAGGTGAGCACCTAACCACATTTCTCATAGTAACTGTGATTTTAATGGGGACCAGGGGACCAACTCAAGCTACCCTTTGGTTGTTCCTGCTTCTAGTGCTATTAAATTTGGCTGGGCACACATGATGAGGTGCTGGTATTGCACAGTGGATGTTAAGCTGTATTCATATAAGTAATCAGGGAAAGGTGTAGTGATTTTGTAAATGGTTATTACCTGCTACGTTACTTACCAAGTGCTGTAGTTATAAACTAAAAGCTAGATGGGAGTTTTGAAGAGATTGTACAGGCTTAAGGGGAAGGTGAGGAGGGCCAGGAGGAAGGAGCGCTGGAATACAAGGGAGACAATGCCAGAGGACCTCAGGGCAGGTGGGTCATGAGGCACGGATGTGCAAGAGAAAGGCAGGCTACAAAGCAGCCTTTGGAAGCTATTAGCACAGGTTAAGCTTAACACCAAAACCAACATGCAAGCAACCTGTGATCACCATGCAGGAGTAATCATTTACACGTGACTCATATAGTCACAAGCAAAAGTTTCCGCTTACTGCTCAAATGCATTTTGACTGTGATGGATATTCTGTAGCTGTACATATCGCAATTGTGAATTTGTTCTTGGTGTATAATGTTGCCCACTGTTCCTTGCAAATACTTACCACTCTATTATCTTGAAGAGATTTGTTTGCAGCCTTCAGTAATCATTTTGGTACCATATCCCAAATTACTTCATAATGCTTAAGAAGCAAGTATTGAAATAGGCTTCTTAGTGATTGGAAAGGGGAATTCTTTTTCTATACTTTAAATGTTTGGAGGAAATATCAGAGGAACAATTAGTTTTTGCAGGCCTACAAGTTGTTCACCATGTCAACCTGTGACGTTACCATTAATGCTCTGAATTTTGGCAGTAACAAGTGTTTGATTGACAGCTTATGTGCTTCACTCTTGTTTGACTGTGCTGATGGGAGGACCATGTTCATTCTGTGCCTTTATAAGAGGTTCTAGAACAAACTTCATTAAATATGAATCATTTCAAAAGAGAATTTCTCATTTACTCTCACTTTGAAATACCTACCGTAAAACATTTTGATTTTTTTTTTTTTTTTTATCTCAGAGTTTCACTTTACCTTGGACTTTACCTTGTCAGATCATTGGACATTCTGTGCATTTTAACTCTGTGTACATTATCAGCCATTTTGTGCTTTTTGTCCTATATTGCACAGACCTACAAAGCATCATCATGATGTAATGAAGTCTTGTGAAGTCACTGCTTTAAACTATCAGGTTGTCTTCTGTGAGGATTTCTTGATATTTTTTCTGCCAGCTTTCAAGACAGTTGGCTTCTCCTGACCTTTTTTTTTTCATACTGCTTCACCAAGTAGGCACTTTTGCCTTGCTGCAAACATTCCAGAAAAGAAGTTTTACTCTATTTTAATCATTCCCAGGACTATCATGTCAGTACCAGTGCCACTGCAAAAGCAGCAAGAAAAAGTTTAAGAAAAGGTGAAGCCAGTATGGAGAAACCATCACACTCAGTGCTGATAGTGAATAAGTTTTTTCAGCAATGCACATAAGGGAGTTTAGTCCGTCACTCTATTTTCTGAAGACTTGAGACAAACAGGTACAAGGAGCATGGTTGGGATCTTAACTGTCTAATTTAGGTGTAATTTTCTTTGACACTTCTATCAGTCAAGAGCAAGGTGCTCTAGCAAGGACCCTAAATATAAGCTGCTGAGAAGCGTAGTAGTCTGCAGCAGAAAGTTATGTTCCCTATATTTGAAGGTTTTTTTTTTTTTCTTGAAAGTTTTTTATCTACTGACTGGTCTGTGTTGCTGTATGGGTTGGATGTATGGCTCTCAGCCATAATTTTTTGCCATTTTATTGTACCTCAGTGTTTGGTAAGAATAGGTCTGCATAGATTTTTACTGACTGTTATTGATATTCCTTTGAACGAGATGGCATTTGTGTTTGACAGCGTTTCTCATTTGTATAAAGAATAATTTAATATATTATGGACTAAAAGGAGAAATTGCAAAGGTAAGTACTCCAAATTTACGAAATACCACAATTAAGATTGCACTTGAAGTCCTCATTTGTTTCCTTTGTACAGTTAATTGTCTGAACTTAAACCTTTTTTTTTCTCTAGAACACCATCTTAAATATTTGCATGTATCTCACCAGTGTAGAAATAGGACTGCATAATTTCTTGGTTGTGTTTATACTGTCACATACAACCTAGTTTGCAAAATATTCATATAGTACCACCTACTACTACAGTTAGTGTGTAGTTTCATTATATAACTAATGTATGATATAAGCACATCTTGCATTCATAAACAGTTCAAGTTTGGATTTAATGCCAAGTTTCTCAGAAAGAACATTGATCAAAATGTAATCAAAACATCTATATAAAGTAAACCTTTTACAGAATTTACTTTTAGCAGCATTTGTAAATAATTACCCTGCTGTTCCCCAAGATAAACATCAGTATTTCAGCAATGTATAAATCGAAGCCAAAAAGTTTAAAGGGATTGCCTACAAAATCCCTAAATCTACATTATGGAAACATGATTGGGAGTGGTTAAAATTACCAAAATCTGAGTACTCAAGAACTCCAAAATTAGATTATTTGAATGTTCATAACCTCAGTAAATGATACTCCATATTTTTTATGCATCACATAGAAACTTAGTTTATATGTATTAAACAAATAATACAAGAGGTTTTGAGAATTTAAACTTAATATTTGCATTCTTACAGAAAGATAAGGAAGACCAGTGGCTAGAGAAAAAAGTGCAGGGTAGTAGAGACCACATCATCTTAGAGCATCTTCAGTGGACCATGGGTTACGAAGTACAAATTACAGCTGCCAACAGACTGGGTTATTCTGAACCAACATTGTATGAATTCAGTATGCCGCCAAAGCCCAACATTATTACAGGTAAGTTAATTTTGGAGTGTTTTCTCTCTATGAATTGTTTGCTACTCGTAGTACACAAATATATGTAGTTGAACATAAGGTAACTGAAGTCTTATTTAACTGACAAAGCCTGAGACACCATACTCTGTTATCAGCAAAGACTTGGTTCAAAACCCTTGAATGGGACCCGTCTCTTACTTTTGTCTTAGTAATAAACTCATTAGTAAGTACAGAACACTGAATCTTCAACCCAGTTGATGACAAGTAACAAAGAATACAGTATTTAAGGTACACCTGCTGTACATTTTCATTGTCTGTTTACACTAGACAAATTACAATATGTCTGTTGTAAGCAGTTTAGTTGCTAGAATTCTTGATTTCAATCCTATCTTTGCATGTGCTTCAAGATATATATGTGTATATATCTTTATATATATTCACATATGTATGTATATATATGTATACATATATATACACATACATATGTATGTGTATATTCACACATGTGTATATATCTATATATATATATTCACATATAATAAAGATAGTTGTTTTAGGGTATGATAAGGTTAAGACTTCAAATAGTCTTGTTTGGATACTGTCTTACTGATTCACCCTAACACGGTGAGGATACAGCCTTCTGTTAGACCCATTTACAAGCTTTGAAATCTGCAGAAATGTTGTTCATATTTTTAAGTGTGTAAATAGGAACATTTTGAAATATTTTAAGGAAAACTGCATAGTTCTTAAGAGTGAATGTGCTTCAGTAACTAATTTATCAAGTTTTAATGCTGCCCAACATACAATTATATTTTGGTGCAATAATGCAAAATTATTTCATTAAGAATAAACCTAAATATGATGGAAATTTCTCTTATATTACAGGTTGGTTTAATTTTTATAAAGCATATATTATGAGGAAGATATTTCAAACTTTTTGTCTAAATTACGGGCTGATATCTTTAATAATACATTCCAAATTATATCAGTGTCATTATTGCCATTTTAAAATCAAGTGCTAAGTCATCTAACATAATACTTTCTGTATGCTGATATTAAACTGTTACAGTATTAGAATCAAATTAAGATCATGCCATATAATGGCCCATATATTAAAATGTAAACCATATCACTACCTGTGTTTGCATTTGAATATCTGACAAGCATTGATCTTAGTAAACTGGTAATGAGTTTGAGTAAAAGACTACTTTGTCATCAAAAAAGTTTGACATAACTAATTTTTTTTTCTTTCTATTGCAAGTTTTCTTCAAATATATTTTTAGGGAAGTTACCTCAAGACTCTGCAAAAATTCGTTCATACTGGAAGCATTGTTACTTGCATTTATAGGAAGGAATAGGCATTTGTAATTCATTAGTAGGTTCAGATCCAGTTCTAGTACAGATATTTGGTTTAGGCACTTGAATTGCAGTAGTGAGAGGTGATTTGCATTTTGATTGAAATTCAGGGCCTCAGTAGGCCCTGTGTACTTTAGTTTTTAAACAGATAGGTTTAAACACAGATTAAACACAATGCCTTGTGATTGCCATCATTCAGAAAAAGAAAAGGGAAAAAGAAATGTAGGAAAGCTTGTTGTCCCAAGAAAATAAAAGTATTTGTCAAGCAGAAGAACCTTATTTAGGTAAATGGAAGGGATAAGTCATATAATCTAACTTGAACCTGTTATAATTATTTGAAGTATTCCATGGTACAGCCACAGCTGCTGTAACTGAGAGGAGCATGATATGCCTCTGCAAATGGTAAGGGAAGTGGTCTCTAGACATTCAAGTAAAAAGCAGCTTAGTTAATTTAGTTTATAGATACTTAGAGGCTTTTTCCTTCTGGTGCTCTCCCGTAACCTCAAGTAGTTGTGAGAAGCCTGTTACACTATTTAGTACCAGGACTTGCTTATATGAATGTTTATTGCAATTGTGATTGTGGAACTAATTAGTTTCCTTGACAACTATATTTTTCAAAGCCTGAAAAGAGTGTGAAATTCCCGTTATAAGCACATTCTGTAAACGATTTTTTAAAGTATGTCAAAGGACACTTAGAATCAGTGGAACATTAATGTTCATATTCATGAGTTAGTATGGTTATCTTGTTTTGAAATGGCATATTATTATTGCAATATAATGTATATATATATAAAAACATTGTTGCAAAAGTATGAACCTACTTTTTCAAAACTTCATAGATAATGTTTATAAAATACTTTGAGGGGAATGCTTCTTTCTGGTATCAGTCAACTTGGATGATGCACTGTTTGTCTGCTTTGAGCCTTAGGTATTTTCAGCTAGGCATCTACAACTAGGTCCAAATAAAGACATAGGCAACAAGAATTAAATTTGGCTTTTGAATCAAATCTGCATTACCTATCCTAAGTGCTCACTTAGGAGCTTCTGACGACTGAGATACCTTTCCTGATTATTCATGTAATTACTAGAAAACCTGAAGGTTTTCACATGTGTGTGCCCGGATCTATGGCATTTCAGCTGAACTGTTTCTGTCTTGCTCTAAATGTAATTAAAAAACAAGATATCTGTAGATCCTGTGTATGCAATCTCATGCATATTACTTATCTCGAGAGAATTTGGGGATCCTCGAAGTATAATATACTATTCTGGTGAGTATGTGCAGACACTAATGAAATTAATCAGAGAACTAGAAAGAGATGGAGGCAAGGATACATTTGTTGTCCTTTAATAGGTGCTTATGAGGGAAATTGGAGTTAGCACAAGAAATAAAACCTGTTCTGATTGCTTCAGAAGGAGCTTGCTTATGTTTTCAAGCGCCGTTGGATATAAGGCAAAAGTAGTAATCCCTGAGGGCAGGGACTGGAAGCCAAAACTCTACTTACATGGGCTTCAAATCTATAATTTCTGCTTGATAGGGAAGTGCGCAAGTACCAGCTCCTGGCTGGAAGTCAAATTCTGTAATAACACAATATGGTGATCTTCCATTAGTAATCTTAGGTCTAGGAAGGAGCTTGAGACTGTAAATAGCTGTCTGGCTTCAGTGAGGGGTATAAATGAGACAGACATTCCTTTAAATTTTCACATAGTTGGCCTTAGCAACCTCCAACTATAGATCTACTTGATTTTGTAATTTCTGTTCCTAGGCCTTTAACACAGTCTCCATTCACCAAATCCAACAAATTTGTTATTAGCTCCTCAAATTTGTAATCCTTCTAATAAAAATTTCCTGGTTTACTGAAGGGTTTACCGATGGAACCTTGCACTGACTTTGAGAAATACTAAAGAAGCCGCATTCTTGAAACATTTTGCCTTAAATAAATGTATGTATAAATATATTCATGTATGTGTGTATGTGTTTATAGATACACATGACTGTATTATATCTCTGTATATATAATTTTACTTCCTACTTTTTTGAGTCAACAATTCCATCTTTGTATTTAACTTTTTGCTTAGGCGTATGAGTATGTATTTAAAAATTACGCTTTGAAGAAAGAGTGGTATAGTCTTAAATGTAGTATTTTATGTATTCAAAAATCTTTATGGATCCTAGTGGGCAGGACTTGCAGATAGTGTTAAGCTGCTTCTAGTCCTGTGAGAAAGAAAAAAAAAAAAAGCGTTCTCAAAGGAGCTGTTTGCTTTAGCTCTTAGCTCTCTGTCAGTGTACAAACAACATTGACTAACCTCTGCAGCCATAAGAAATCCTCTGACTAGGTGCCACCAAGAACAACTGAAGTCCATCAGCTCCCAGAACCAACACTACAGCCCATTTGTATGGCTCCGTTTACTCCTTAGCAGGGCAGAGACAGAGATCCTGTCTTTGTACTGTGTAGCTGGTACAAAATTGTCCAAATTTGTCATTCTGAACCATTACTGTTGCAAACTAAAAATACATCTACAGTTTTATGTTAAGTGAATCTTAAAAGAAGATGAAATGAAAGGTGTTAAAAGAGGATACTTTCTGCAAATGTTAGAAAAACTTTCAGATATTAGGGGCGAAAGATTTATACAAGTGCTATCTTCCAAAGGCTTTTATCCAGTCAATGCTTTGTCTCTGGAAGGCCAGTAGATTAAAAATGCCTGCAAGTTGTGTTTTATCATAAGTTTTTTCTTCTTCCTTATAAATTAATAACTTGGCACCATAGTGGGAAAATGAGAAAAGCATTTTGTGATAATATGAAGCCCTTTTCTCACTTTGCGATATCGGTTGTTTGGGGGTATTTTAACTTCCAATGCTGCATGAATTCTTGAAGTATTTTTTTGTTAACATTGCTGGAAAAAAATGAGATGCATCCCTTGTGCATCTCATTTACCATTTTTCTATGCATGACTCTTACCAATGCTTAAAATAACAGTGATAAGCAAAGAGGGACAATTTAAACCATGGTATTTTCTCTCATCATCGCTACTAGCAAAGATGTTACTCTTCATGCCAAGCATTATTTTTATCGGTAGATATTACAAAAATGCAGCATTACGATCTCCAGTGGTGTCAAATAAAATGAAAAATAATAGCTCTTATCAGTGTTTCAGATACATGTGTATATACATTTGAATTTGTGTATATGTATTTTATGATGTATTGCATAGACGAAATAGGGATTTTGAACTATACAGACAGTGTTTTATTAGAATAGAAGCTAGGATAATGAACTTTTTCATCCAGAAACTGAAAATGACTAAGTACAGAAAAATGTTTCCCCAGTGCCCACAATTTTCTCTCAGGGTGAGTCATTTAATTTTTCTCTCAGCCAAGCAATTCATTAATTTTTTTTGGATAGAAATAAATTCTATATGATCCCATCTGCATATTCAGGGTTGGTCCTGTCACAACTTGCTGCCAAACAGCAGAGTCTCCTGCTGCAGGTGCTCTCCTTGTCTTTCCCATCCCTTCAACACTGACCCATGGGCTGCAAGAGACTCCCTAGCTCTGAAGGGAGGCATAACCTTCCTTTTCTCCAGAAGGGTTGACTTGACCCTGGCCATGCATTAGCTATGAGAAGCCAGAAAGCAGCCTTCATTCTTGTTCTATACTCTACCACAAAAGTACATAATGTTTGTTGACTTACCATAACTATGAATAAAATTTCAATCTGAATAGTTCTTGTGTCTTTTGAAGCACTTTCCTTAGATTTCAAATAATTTCAGATCTGTTTGAAATTAGATTTTACCTGATTACAGCCAAGCCTCAAGGTCAGGGTATCACATAAAAGTGTGCTTGCCCAGGCAAGGCCTCAGCTGTCATTACCATTAGCCTTCCTTGCTGCAGGAGAACATAGCTGGCTCGTGTTCAACTTCATGTTCAACTTGATACCTTTTCTGCAAAGCTGCTTTCCAGCTAAGTGGCCCCCAGCCATATACTGGTGGCAAGGGTTGTTCCTTCTCGGGAGCAGCATATTGCACTTCTTGAATTTCATGAGGTTCCTTTCAGCCTATTTCTCTCGCCTGTTGAGGTCTCTCTGGATGGCAGCACAACCACCGGGTGTATCAGCCACTCCTCTGAGATTTCTGTCATCAGCAAATTTGCACCATCAGCACCTCTGCAAGATCATCCAAATCACTGATGGTGTTGAACCACTGATGGTGTTGGACCCCATATTGAACTCTGGGGTCACTGGACTCCAACTAGATTTAACAGCATTGATCAGCACTCTCCAGGCCCAGCCTTTCATCCACTTTTCAGTTCCACCCCACAGTCTGCTTATGCAGTCATTATCCAGCTCAAATGAAGAGAAGCCCTTTTCAGGTACAGTGTGTTATTTTGGAAAAGGGCCACGTTTTGAGGAGGAGTTAGCTGTGGGGTAATTTCAGCAGTTGGCTTTTGGTACTTTTGCATCATTAAAAGTTAAATTAGGAGAACTGGGGGGATTTGTAGTGAGCTTCTTTTGTGGTCTTATTTCCATAGAAAAAGACTGACAGTAGCTACCTGACCTAGGACTAAAAGTCATTACTTGTGGCTTTCAAATTGCCTGTTTAAATCTCCAGAAAAAGACTATAGAATTATATTATATACAGATTCTTCAGGAATAATATTTTGTCCTGATTTTCAGCCTATGGCTTATGACCACACTGCCTGTCCATGTATGTGCATATGTATACCTGTACAAACATCCATCAATTTGTGCCTTCTGGTAACTTTTGAACGCAGTTGACAATTTCACTAAATTTGCCAGAGAACAGAGGTTTCAAAAACAATACATTCATGTAAACATTTTTAAAACAGGTGTCTGAGGATAGAAGTACAATTCTTTGTAGCTCAGTAAGGAAAATATATTAGAAATATACATGCTTTTAACAATCGAAATAATTTCGGAAAGAACAGTTTTAACTTTCTGCTCCTTGATCTTTGCACCAGCTTGGATAGCAACAATAAATTTAAACCAAGAAAGAAAAGAAAAGCACAGAAGGGTTTTGAAGATATTTCCAAAGGCAAAATTTGCATTCCAAGGATCAGAAATTTAAAGACCATAATGGGTACCTCTTTTGAACAATTTTGTGCTTTGCAGGATTCCTTAGTCTATCTCTATAGCTTTGACTAGTTAGATTTTTAGTTAAATCTAAAATAAAGAACAAAATGCAGTAGTCAAAAAGGAAAGCTTTGAGGATGTTAGTCTCCTTGTAGCTCTGATCATATTCCCAAGGCAAGGAAGAGCTGCAGCATTATCCTTGTGAAGTTACCTACCTCATAGGCTAAAGGATATCATTATTCCAAAATCAGAAATTGAAAATGAAGACTTTTGTTTGACTTTTGTTCAGATCATAATTCAGAGCTAAAAATGTTTTTTTGAGGTGTCATGCTTTGAGAATAGGAGTTGGTAGGAATCCCCCCAGTCAGATAAATTAATATCCAAAACTTTGTATCCCAAACTTCAGAAAGATGACAGCCCCTGCAAAACCTATTTGCTTTTATTTTGCAAACCAGTACTAGAATTTGCTGAGTGAGAGACATTTCTCATCAAATCCTGGAGATGAACATCGTTGTAAGTGACAGGACATGTTCTTGCTGTAGGCTGAAAACAGCTGTGTTTGCTCCATTCCCTGCAAAAAACAGTTTTCACATGAAAAGGGATAGAAGTCGCTAACAAAAAATAGTAGAACTCTCAGAAAAAGAGAGAGAAAAGACTTACACTATCAGTATCATCAGAGAGATGTTCATAGGCAAAAAAATAAATATTACTGTTTAAAAAATGCAGTTCTTACAGTACAGGTGACACAGGAATCAACTACTGCTGAATACTAGAAATACAGTAGAATACTAGAAAAAACAAATAATTGGCAAAGAACTACTCTGCATTCCCAGAACTTATGCTTGAAAAGCAATTTTTTTTTTTTTACTTTTTACCTTGTTAATTTTAGTTTGCTTATGTTTTTGAATGCTATGAGAAAAAACAAAATCCTCGCAGATGTTGAAATACTGAAGTGCTAGCCCCCACTTTACAAGTATAGTACTCTTACTCACCTAGACTATTTATTTTAAGTAATTGCTAGCATTATATTGCTTTGTAATTAAAGAAAACCCAAAATGCCAGTTAAAAAATTAAATTGTTAAATATAGTCTCTAAAAATATTTTTAAACTGTTATTCAAATAACTCTGGAAGTTCAATGTGTCAAAGTTTGGGGGTTTTTTGCTAGGAATATAAGAACCAAACTATTTAAGTCTTAACAAAAAGAAATGCTTGTGAATTTTGAACATCTTAAGCAATCATAATTTCTTTTAAAAGTGTATCACTGAAAACACCATGTTAGAAATATGTGTGAGAGTGGGGTAAAGTCGATAATCGCCTTTAGTCTTTTTATATTACTGTCTTTTCTACTTAATCACCTACATTGAGATGTATATTTGTGCAAGAAGAGGGACATTCATGTTTTAAGATGATAATGCATCTGTGTCCCAAAGGCAAGTTTCCTACCAGAACATGTTCACAAAACAACAGTTCTGTGATTTAAGCTAAATTTGAGGTGCATTGCAAAAAGCCCTGAAAGATTCAAATCCTAAAACCTGAAAATCCTTTGATTTTTTGGGTAGCACTTAAATTCTGCATCTTGATTATGTATTTGTGGCAAGAGATAATGATTTATCTACCACTTGCCTTTCTCTTCAGATTGTGAGCTCTATAGAATAAGAGGCACACTCCAGTATGTTTGTGCTAAGATATCACAAACCATCCTTTACACTGATTTTAACATTAGATAAATTCTTCTAAAGCTTGAATAGTTACAATAAGGAACCAATATAATACCGTTTAAATGAAAAATGGGGGGCTTAACAGTTTGTATCTACGTCCATCACAATTTAGTAAAGTTCACTTTTTAAAGTGGGTAAATCAAGATGTAACCAAGGTTATTGTTCATGCTACACAAGTTTTTCTACATTTCAGTTTCTTTTGTAGTGTCTTTTGAAACAGTAGCCTAACACTGGTATTAGTCGCTATCCATGTAATTCCTGTGTCACTGTAGCTGACAAAAAAAAACCCCAAAACTCAGTCAAAAGGATTGAGATGTTTAAACGTATATTATATTGCATAAAGCTGACCCTATTATCTGCCAAAAAGTGAACTTGAAATTAAAATATTAGTAGAAAAAAATATATGCAAACTTCATATATTGCACTGTATTGCATCCAGATATACTGTGAGGACTTTAATGTCTAAGAAGTTGCAAGTTTTGAAAAGCAACTGTATTTTGTTCCCATCCTAGTATTAAAGTCAATATCTAAATAGCCAGCTGCCTGTGCTGATTACGTCGGTCATTCATGCTTCAAGTGGACTTACGTCCATATTACTGATACCAGTTTTGACAGTGGTCCATTCTGGACTCCTATGTTATTTCAGGAATGAGGTAAACTTATTAGGAAGAAGAAACTATGAAACAAGTTTCTCTCTTCTTTATCTCCATGCATGATGGGAATCTTTTTTTTATGTAATTACTGACTTATTTTACAGTTTCTTCTTTCAGCCCATGGGCTGGTGTTTGTTGTTGCTTCAAATAGTCACCTTTTCTGATAGATGTTGCATTGCAGTTTCTCAAGTTCCAGGTACTTCCAGCATGAAAGATGAGCAAAAGATTGTACTGAGCTTGGCTGACTAGTTTTGAATTTCAAGGTGAAACCAGAGAGTTGGTCTTATGCTTCAGATTAAGTGCTTAAATAAATTGTTTTAAAGTTAGACCAGAGAGTTTAGCACTCCAGCTGCTGTGGAGGACCACATGTTGCTAGTATTAACGTACACCTTTTCTACAGTTTGAGTACTTTATTATCCACATTTGTCCAGAGCACTTCAATGGTGACCATTTCATGCAAAATTTAATCATTTGATGTTTCTACTAGAATGTCTTTCAAGTGATTGTCTTTGCCACAATGTAAATATTATATTAATTACTTTTCTTTCCCATTGTAACATTTTTCCTTTTGATGCTTTATTTTCCATATTAGTGTCAACTTTTTAACTTCTATCTCAAATTTCCTTCGTTTTCACACTCTTGATTTTCTGTAACAATTCTTACCTACACAGGTACATGCTGTGAAGCTATTAGACATGAAAATGGAGGCCAGTCCCTGCAGCTGAATGCTGCTGGTTTCTCTTTCATTGTAGTCATGTGTTTCTGGTGCATGTTTTGATACTGTTGATAAGGCAAGCAATATGTTTTCTTCCTTTCTCTCTTGATTTTATATTTACAGGAAAATAAACACAGACCTGTATAAAAAATTATACTTTTCTCTAGCTTTTCTAGAGTTTTCATTCCTAGCTAAGATCCTAAATAATGTAATTATTTCAGTCTGTGCATACAAAATTCTTTATCTGGCTTTTTGGGAAACTTAAAGTTCTGTGACAAATTCAACAGATGATACTTGGCTGTTCTATCTGACAGAACTTGGAGCATTTGACTTACTGAATTTGATCAATGTCATTTGATTGTATTTTCTAAACCATATTTTGATTATAAGAAATCTGTGCGGTGACCTTACCATTGTGAGTCATGTGCTTTTCCAGATACACCATCAACTGGTCTTTCATAAGAGCATTTTTATTCCATATTAATCACTTTCACAGAGTTGTGTTTATAGTAGCTCCTTCCATGATGTACTTAAAATGCTTAATATAGACATATTTTATAGTTTCTAGGGAATTTTAATAAACATTTCTCCCCTAATTTATAATTTATTAATTGCTTTAGTTCATAGTATTTAGCTTCATATACTTTTTCTGTGTCTCTCTCCAGCCATGCCTCCACATATAAAATGTGTCCCTGCCCACCAAATGTACTTCTTGTGACTGTAGTGATGCCACATTCCATTTCATGGCATTTGTTGGACTTGAAGCTCTAGGGGACTCAATTTTGACCTTTAGTAAAGAATGGGAAGAGTAGTTTTCCCTATTTTACCCATTAAAAGAATGGCTTAAAAAGTATACAACTAGAAGAGTGTACATAAAATCTCAGAAAAGAAGTTCATTTAGTAAGAAGTGACAGACATTGTACAGCATATGTTTGATTTCATGCAGTTGACTAAGTTTATGGTTGATTCATCTGTTGCATATAGAGTAACCCAAAAAGCAATGTGCTTTTGAGCTAAGTCAGAATTAAATATTTATTTTAAAATACCTCCCTTCAAATTGTTACTAAATGTAACAAAGATAGTAAATTAACTGTACATGTCTATTTTTCCCCTTATAGTTAATTTCTTGTGGAATTTAATAGTTATCTTATAAATTTGAAATCAGTTGGTCAAATTTAAGTTTTTATTTATCTTTGCGTATATAATATATTCTTATTTCTTAGAAGGAGTGATTATGGACAGTTTTCCCAGTTTCTGTTTATCCTTGGAAACCTTTAAAACATCATTAATAAACCCACTTACCATCTAAAACAAGTAAGAGTCATGTTATAAAACTGGCCTATACCACAACTAAGATGCCTTCAGAATGCATGTGTGTAAATGTGAAGACTAAATTTATTGACAGAAATACTTTTGTAAAAACTTTAAGTATGTAGTCTAATGAAGCAGCCGAAATTCAAACAAATTCCATTCTAAATATGTTGGCTTCATTGTGTTCTATAGAAAATCCCTCACTGTGTTAAGTGGGGCCACTACTTCATCTGCAGCCCTTGCCACTGTGTTTTATCAGTTTAACCTAATGCTGTGCCATTAAATTTAAATTAATTAAATTGAGATGTGCCTGGCCATAGTATGGTGAAGAAATAGAATTTCTGTTCTGATCTTTTAAGAGTCAAAACTTTGGCTTCCCATAGTCAGAGCCAGTCATGTGAAGACTAGTTTTTCATGCACCAAGAATGTCAATATAAGCATTGACTTCTATTTAGTTAGAATCATAGAACAGTTAGGGTTGGAAAGGACCTTAAGGTCATCTAGTTCCAACCCTCCTGCCATAGGCAGGGGAC